GTAGGGAAAAAGTATTGGATCTTTTGAGTCTGTCTCGAACAAAAGCTCTTTTACACTTGCTGGTGGTTTTTAATGGTGATCTCTTCTTCATTCAGTCTGGGTAGGTTTGGCACTTGCTAGCAGGCTGGTCAGCATCCTGCACTGTTCCTGGGATGCTGTGTGTCTGCAGGAAGGGGAGAACCGCTTGCTTTTCTCTCTTCCTGGGGCTCTGCCAGAAAGCCAGGCCTGGCCCAACTCTCTGCTTAGGTCAGGGTGAGGGCAGAAGCAGGCTCAGGCAGCAATGGGTGTTCGTGCCCTGTCTGCAGATGGTCCTGCAGAGCTGAGGGTCAGGCTGCTCCCCAGGGACCAGTGAAACCCCTCGGGGAAATCAGGTCCAACCAGGACTTCAAAGGAGCAAACATAATCCAGGAAAGAGGCCAAAACCCAGCTCACTTCTGCTGCTTTGCTTCTATTCCCATGAAAAACAATAGCAGTCACTGTCAGAGCAGTTGGGAACCCAAGGCTTTCTTCTGGGCTCCCATTGGCAAGAGTCGGCTGCTCCGGGGCGCTGGCAGCTCGGCATGTCACGAAATCCCCGGTGGGACAGAGGGAAGAATCACTTCCCAGTGAAGCAAGAGGAGAAGCAGTTGAGCTTTTCAGAATGCTGGTCTCATCTTCTCAGGCTGGCAGAGGCGTAACCTGCTCCATCACATAGCTGTGGCCAACCTGGCCATGTCTCTGGCTTTTCCTCCAGTGGCTTGGCACATCACTGCTTGCGTTTTTGATAACTGTGTCTCATAGGGTATCTCTTCCTTGTCTCCATGTTATTATTGACTCCACAGATCCTGGTCTTTATGTAGCTTTTTAGCTCTCTGACCCCTTGTTTTGAATAGGAAAGCAGCCCTAGTCGTTCAGCCTGGTGCAGCACAGCCAGGGCTGGAGCATCCAGAGCAGACCTGGAGGGAGGAAGGAGCGGTCTGTTCCTATTTCTAGATCCCACGCAGAGCTCCTGCTGTGCATCTGTCACGAGCTATGTCCGGCAGTCCCTGGCCAGTGGTGGGTGTACGAGGTGGTGGTGATGGAAGTGGAGTTGCTTGTCCTGCAGACTTGTTGCTGTCTCTCGGGAAGCTGCATCTTGCAAGCACTTTTTCCCTTGTGGCATCGCTGCCGTCTGTTCCTTGTTGGACTTTGGATGTTTAAGAAGTGAATCAGTTTCCAGACCCAAACCGCTGGCTAGTTTCCTTTGGGTTTTTTTTTTTGTCGTGAAGTTTATTGAATCTTTTTTTTTTTTATAAACCCAGCAGGCTGGTGTTTTTTTGACTGCATTGTTGTTTCATTGATATTTTATTCCTGGGGGGCTGAAGGGGGGACGTTCTTCCCCACGTTGTTCCCCTTCTCAGGGGATTCAGAGGTGGCTTAAACAAGTAAAAGGACCTTATTGGCAAGACCCTGCATCCCCTGGGTCTCTGATGCTGGCGAGCAGGGCTGCTCAGGCCCGGCTGACCCTGGAGAGCAGAGCTGGCTCTCTGCTCCAGTCTCGGGGCCAGACAAAACATGTGGGCTCTGCTTTCCCAGTTTCTAGACCTTCAGTTCGTGGAAGCCCATTGCAGAGAGTTGGAAAATTCAATGTAACTTTTTTACTAACTTTTATTTTAAAACCAGTATAAACTGAGTGAATGTCCAAAAGAATAGGCTTAGTTGTGACTTGGTGAAGGAGATGAGTTTCAATTGGAAATGGTGATGGAAAAAGGGGGAGAAGGATGTTGCTCCTCCATCTTCTTCTTTTGTATGGTCAGCACTTTAAATGGGGGCCTTCGTGCTGTCCTGACCCTCGGTGTGATGGGCAGCAGGCGTGTGATCTCTCCCCCCCCCCTCATTGCCACATCACTTTGCCCCCTGCAGAAATTTAATAAGCCCTTTTAAATGTTTGCTTCGGTTTTTAGAGGGTTCCGAACCAGGCCGAGACCTGAAGAATACGTATTTCATTCTCATCTTAATAGGAGGGGTTGACTTTTTATTTATTTTGTCGTTGCTGTTTCTTTTTAAACTGGTGGCTGTGCAGCTGGACTCTGCACACGCTGTTGTGAACCTCTGGGAAAACCTCACTCCAGGTACGCTAGAGCACCTAGGTTAAACACCCCTCCTGGAGAGGGGGCCCCCCTGCTCCCCTCCTTGCTGCCTTATCCGGGAGCTCCAAATTCACCCTCCACCCCTCCTGCCCCATCCCCTGCCACCCCACCTAGTCTCTAGCTGAACGAGTTGTTGCTCTGGTGACTGAGCCCTTTGGACAAGGCTGGTCCCCAGGGGCATGTTCCTACAAACACTGCCTGGTCGCAGTTGTTTGTCCTTGAAAAGCCACTTCCTCGTGGAGGGGGGAGTTGATGAGCACAGAATTGCCCCCCACTTCCCTCCTGAGAGCTGCGTCGTCTGTCAGCCCACCTGCGCCATCCGAGCCTGATGCCCTCCACAGCTCCACGTTGCATCACCCCTGCCCTGTTGGGAGGGAGTGGACGTGGAAACCTGGGAAATAAAAAGGAATTTGGATGAAGCTCTGAGGGAGGGGTGTGGCTGAGCCTCGTAACTTGCCTCAAACACAAGGAATAACGGTAGAGCCCATATTTTTGTGGGGGGAGGGAGGGGAAGGGGAGATCATGTTTTATTTTCTTGAAAGTTAATTGAGCTTAGTGATCTTCAGATGAGGCGCGCACTTGATTTATATCAGATTCTATAGAGAGATCGCTGATATTTTTGGAAAAGGAATGGGTCTATGCAAACTTCCAAAATTGCTTGAAAGATAGTTGTAACTTTTTTTTTTTTACTTTGAAATCTAAAGATAAATCTAACTTTTTTCTTAAAGCAGAAGTGCGTTTAGAAAGAGAAGCTACTTCCACTGCTCTATTTTGATGATGATTCTTGGAAAGTTTGGGCTGGAGGGAATGACTATTTTTCACCATTTTTATCTTGCTCCTCTAGTTTTTTGTTTCTTTTTTCTAACGGAATGCTGTGCCGTCTTTGATTCAACAGATCGTGTTTGTATTTTCTGTATCTGGTTCCTAACGTAGAGAAATAACAAATATATGAGAAAATCAATATAATGTCAAATGTTGTTATGGTTTGGGGGAAAAAAAATAAAGGTTTTTGGTACTTCACACTGATTCTTCTTGCTTTTTTTTTCTTGTTTTTAAATGTATTTAAATATCTGCAAAGGAAGCAGAAGGGTGAGACGGGGCCTGCTAGCATGCAGGGCCCTGGAACAGGATTTGGCTTTGCCTTCTGGACTTGCCCAGAAGTGGAGATCCCTGCCAGTCCTTCCCTGCGGTGGGGAGCTGGCAGCCCAGCACAAGTCCAGTGGAAGCAGCAGCCTGCAGTCCAGCAGGAAGGTGAA